GGATTCACTTTCTTTAGGCCGCTGACAGCGCCCTCTATTCATATACTTTGGAACTTTTTCCGGATGCCGTATCATTTTCTCCTTCTTCGAGTATCTTCAGTTCAAATTTGAACTCATTGTGACTAGTGGTTCTTTTCTTTTCTTTTTTTTTTTTTTTTTTTTTTTTTTGACAGCACTTTGAAAAGGGGGACTTTAACTATAATCGCCTAGTATTTAACGTGTCTCTACTACAGAAAAACATTCTACTTAATATATCAAGTAAATTAAACAATTTAAACAAGAATTTTATTCTATGAAGACTATTGACAAAGCAGATTTTCCGAAAGCAACTCAAGCGTAGCAGGACATCTTTTATGACAGTTTCGCGTTCCAACCGATGAGACGAGTCACTAATTATTAAAAACCACTCCGAGTAGTTTTATAACGCGTTTGATTGAAACAATAACACCATTCAATTTTCCTGCAAAGACAGCGCATTCGGTGCTTTTTCACTCATCTTGCAGATTCCGATTACTTGGAAAGTGAATTCAAAAGGCGAACACACTCAAGATTCGAACACTTTTGATCGCTCCGGGGGCCTGAAGGGTTCGAAAAAATGAATCGTCTTGTTGCGTGATTCCGTCTAATGCGATGCGGTGTGAAAAGCACTCGTCGGGACTCCCCCTCCCCCTCCCCTCCGGAGTTCACGCGAGGTCTTTCAGGGAAACTGCATATGCTGATGACTGCAGTGGCTCTCTACAGCATTTGGTGAGTCGAACCGTTTGGAAGAGTCCTTTTTTTAAATAAGAAAATGGATGGTTGCCCTTTTTTTTAATGAAATGCAGACATATATATTTAAAAGGCTAAATCTATTCTTAGAAAAAATGTCAGCATTGGGCATTGACACCCGAACACCCGAGACGAAGTGCAGGAAATCAAGTATTATTAAGTTAATCGCCGTTTTATTAAGTTAATCGCAGTTTCAACTCGCCAATACAATCCGCCAAACTAGAAAATTTCATATAAAATTTCTCTTACCTTTCTAGTTCTGCGAACTGTTAGAATGGGATATCCAAAAGGCAGTTAATTCAAATATTCCCTAAATACTTTTATTGAACACATAACAATGGCGATATATATATACATAAAAAGTAATATTAGAAATACAGACACGAAAAAACTCGCGTCTACCACGGGTGATTATCAACAACGTAGTCCCCAAGTGCGAGAGAAAGTTCTTACACCGAAGTACGGTTACAGTTCAAAAATGGAGTGGTAAAGAGTTCAAAAAGTTCTAGATATATGCAGCATTTTTGACATTCAGCGTCCATCCAGTAAGTAGGACGAGTAAGTTTACAATTGAGATTGGGTGCGCCAGCTAAATGGTGTGAGAATTATTCCTAAACATGTCTGACTCAATGTTTTTATAGACCGACTCGGCGAAGAGGATCCGCAGATACGGAGGCGGTCGTCGGTTTAGAGTGGAAGCAGAGCCTCCGTGAGAGGTTCGACACGAAAGTACTGTAAGGTTTAATTAATAATTTTTGCCGCGTGAGGTCCCGACTTTGACCAGTAACTGGGACCTTAACTGTGTGGGCCAGTGTGGTAAGGAGACACGGTTAGATCTTGAGACCATGAGAAGAACGCTAGGAGCGTCCGAGCTAGAAAAGACGGTCAGGGACCGTATATTATGTGTTTGCAGTTATTAGGTATAGATTTTATATTGTAGAAGAGGCACAGGGTGCCATGTGTATCAAATTATTGTACGTGTAAAGTATTGTAAATAAACTAATATAAATGGAAAGAAAGATTGGTATTACATCCTGGCACAACAGGGCCTGAATGGCCGAGTGGCTAGCGCCCTGGCGCTCGGTACCACAGGTTTGGGGTTCGAGTCCCGGCGGTGCCATGGATGTTTGTAATGGTTCGGAATCCACTTTAAACCGTAGGTCCCGGTCTCATAGGATCGTAGAGCGTTGCGGGGGCATTGTGACTCCGCGTCCGTGGCTTATCTCCAAGTTACACACGCCCCCTGGGTCATGCAAAGTGAGTAACGTCTGTGCAGCACTCGCCTTAAGGCATCCAAGACCAAGTTGTCTAAGTGTTTACCAGCTGCATTAGAAAAGAAAAAAAAACTATTTGAATAGATTGCAATGTCATCTAAATACAGCAATGCGAAATTTCTAATGCTTACGACATTAACTTACTAAAGTAATACGGAGCATTCACTACTGTGTTTAATTCCAGAGCCCGATTATTAAATCCAGCGACTGTTTTGTGGCGGTCTTCAGAATTTCACTTTGAAGCAAGGAAGCACTGCACGGTTTTCGCATAACCCGGCTCGTTGTTGATTGGCTCACTATCGTACTCGACTCCTGGAGAGTGGGTCTTACCCAGCGCTCGTATGATAAGGTCCTCGCATTTTTTTTCCGTCAGCAACCTGCAGGGGGATGCTTCATGAACTCCGGGGAAGTTTCTGCCACCGGAACATTAGTTCCGGTAAATTTTCTACATTAATTACGCCTGGTTTCGACTGAAAAGACGGCTGGTTTCGACTATGGTAAATTTCATCACATCTTGTTTTTTTTTTTTCTTTCAGTTTGTTCTTACAACGTGCAACAACAACATTGATTTGCTCTACTACTACTACTACTACTACTACACACACCCCATCACTGTGCCTAGAGTTGAGTGGCCCCTTTACAGTTTGGAAAGGCTGTGGGTGAGAAGTCTGATGGGGTTCTGTGACGCTCTACGGTCCTATGAGACCGGGACCTATGGCATAAAGTGGATTCCGAACCACTACAAACATCCATGGCAAAACCGGCATTCGAACCCGATGTGACGAAAATAAGATAGAAATGAATTCGCCAACTTCCGGGTTCTTTTAGTTCCCAAAGGTGTTAAGTTGTTGGAGGTACAAAATAATCAGCTCTCTTGTAAATTCTTAACTATTTTATTGCACGTATTTAGAATATTAACAACTTTGTACTTTTGATACCGAAAGCCAAAACCTTGATTTGCCATGCAAATTTTTTTTCTCTTTTATTAAATTTGCGGTCCGATTCGAAGCAAATGTATCCCATTATCCGATTTTTACATCTATTACTGCGGGCCTTTGTAACAATGGGGCCCAAAATCTAGGCTGTGCAGTACTTCGCGAGCGGGTACACATTTGGACTCTAAGTCAAAAGCTTGTTTAACCTAATATTTTTTCTCCATGAAACTTTTCGGATCTACATGGTTCCTCAAGAATAAATCTACAGAAGCTCCCTTGTCACGAAGTATATTTAATTGTACATTATTTATGAATCCTTCGCTCATACATGTTTCAAGCGCATTCTCCGCAGTTTCTGCGATTCCTACCTAAAATTACAAACTCAGCCGATTATTTTATTCTTTATTTTTCCTGCGTGAATGCAAAATTTCTCCTAACTACTTAAAATCTGGGTCGCTATATTCACTCCTAGGTATTTGTTTCGTTATCTTTATTTGAATTTAAATAATTGTTTTCTGCCGTCGGTTCCGTGGTGTAGTGGTCATCACGTTAGCTTCACACTCGAAAGGTCCAGGGTTCCATCCCGGGCGGAACCACTGTGTCAGTAGTTAACTAACTATTGTTTTACTGCTTGAACGCAAATTTTTTCCAAACTTATTATTAACTTGTCGCTATATTCATTCCAAAGAATTTATTTCGTTATCTTTATTTGAATTAAATAATTATCTTCCGCCGTCGGTTCCGTAGTGTAGTGGTCATCACGTTTACTTCACACGCGAAAGGTCCCCGGTTCGATCCCGGGCGGAACCAGTGTGTGAGTATTTGATTAACTATTATTTTACTGCTTGAACGCAAAATTTTTCCAAACTATTATTAACTTTGTCGCTCTATTCATTCCAAAGTATTTATTTCGTTATCTTTATTTGAATTAAATAATTATCTTCCAACGTCGGTTCCGTAGTGTAGTGGTCATCACGTTCGCTTCACAAGCGAAAGGTCCCCGGTTCGATCCCGGGCGGAACCAGTGTGTGTCAGTAGTTTGATTAACTATTATTTTACTGCTTGAACGCAAAATTTTTTCCAAACTTATTATTAACTTTGTCGCTCTATTCATTCCAAAGTATTTGTTTCGTTATGTTTATTTGAATTAAATAATTATCTTCCGCCGTCGGTTCCGTAGTGTAGTGGTCATCACGTTCGCTTCACACGCGAAAGGTCCCCGGTTCGATCCCGGGCGGAACCAGTGTGTCAGTATTTGATTAACTATTATTTTACTGCTTGAATTGAAATTTTTTCAAACTTATTAAAAACTTTTCGCTCTATTCATTCCAAATTATTTGTTTCGTTATGTTTATTTGAATTAAATAATTTTTCTTCCGTCGGTTCCGTAGTGTAGTGGTTATCACGTTCGCTTCACATGCGAAAGGTCCCCGGTTCGATCCCGGGCGGAACCAGTGTGTCAGTATTTGATTAACTATTATTTTACTGCTTGAATAGAAAATTTTTCCAAACTGATTAAAAACTTTTCGCTCTATTCATTCCAAAGTATTTGTTTCGTTATGTTTATTTGAATTAAATAATTTATCTTCCTGCCGTCGGTTCCGTAGTGTAGTGGTCATCACGTTCGCTTCACACGCGAAAGGTCCCCGGTTCGATCCCGGGCGGAACCAGTGTGTCAGTATTTGATTAACTATTATTTTACTGCATGAATGGAAAAATTTTCCAAACTGATTAAAAACTTTGTCGCTATAGTCATTCCAAAGTATTTGTTCGTTATGTTTATTTGAATTAAATAATTATTTCCGCCGTCGGTTCCGTAGTGTAGTGGTCATCACGTTCGCTTTACACGCGAAAGGTCCCGGTTCGATCCCGGGCGGAACCAGTGTGTCAGTATTTGATTAACTATTATTTTACTGCTTGAACGCAAAATTTTTCCAAAATTATTAAAAACTTTGTCGCTCTATTCATTCCAAAGTATTTGTTTCGTTATCTTTATTTGAATTAAATAATTATTTTCGCCGTCGGTTCCGTAGTAGTGTAGTGGTTATCACGTTCGCTTTACACGCGAAAGGTCCCCGGTTCGATCCCGGGCGGAACCAGTGTGAGTATTTGATTAACTATTATTTTACTGCTTGAACGAAAATTTTTCCAAACTTATTAAAAACTTTGTTCGCTATATTCATTCCAAAGTATTTGTTTCGTTATGTTTATTTGAATTAAATAATTATCTTCCGCGTCGGTTCCGTAGTGTAGTGGTCATCACGTTCGCTTCACATGCGAAAGGTCCCCGGTTCGATCCCGGGCGGAACCAGTGTGTCAGTATTTGATTAACTATTATTTTACTGCTTGAACGCAAAATTTTTCCAAACTTATTATTAACTTTGTCGCTCTATTCATTCCAAAGTATTTGTTTCGTTATGTTTATTTGAATTAAATAATTTATCTTCCGCCGTCGGTTCCGTAGTGTAGTGGTCATCACGTTCGCTTCACACGCGAAAGGTCCCCGGTTCGATCCCGGGCGGAACCAGTGTGTGAGTATTTGATTAACTATTATTTTACTGCTGAACGCAAAATTTTTCCAAACTTATTATTAACTTTGTCGCTCTATTCATTCCAAAACTATTTGTTTCGTTATGTTTATTTGAATTAAATAATTATCTTCCGCCGTCGGTTCCGTAGTGTAGTGGTCATCACGTTCGCTTCACACGCGAAAGGTCCCCGTTCGATCCCGGGCGGAACCAGTGTGTGAGTATTTGATTAACTATTATTTTACTGCTTGAACGCAAAATTTTTTCCAAACTTATTATTAACTTTGTCGCTCTATTCATTCCAAAGTATTTGTTTCGTTATGTTTATTTGAATTAAATAATTATCTTCCGCCGTCGGTTCCGTAGTGTAGTGGTCATCACGTTCGCTTCACACGCGAAAGGTCCCCGGTTCGATCCCGGGCGGAACCAGTGTGTGAGTATTTGATTAACTATTATTTTACTGCTTGAACGCAAAATTTTTCCAAACTTATTAAAAACTTTGTCGCTCTATTCATTCCAAAGTATTTGTTTCGTTATGTTTATTTGAATTAAATAATTATCTTCCTCCGTCGGTTCCGTAGTGTAGTGGTCATCACGTTCGCTTCACACGCGAAAGGTCCCCGGTTCGATCCCGGGCGGAACCAGTGTGTGAGTATTTGATTAACTATTATTTTACTGCTTGAACGCAAAATTTTTCCAAACTTATTATTAACTTTGTCGCTCTATTCATTCCAAAGTATTTGTTTCGTTATGTTTATTTGAATTAAATAATTATCTTCCGCCGTCGGTTCCGTAGTGTAGTGGTCATCACGTTCGCTTCACACGCGAAAGGTCCCCGGTTCGATCCCGGGCGGAACCAGTGTGTGAGTATTTGATTAACTATTATTTTACTGCTTGAACGCAAAATTTTTTAAAATTTATTAACTTTGTCGCTCTATTCATTCCAAAGTATTTGTTTCGTTATGTTTATTTGAATTAAATAATTATCTTCTTCCTCCGTCGGTTCCGTAGTGTAGTGGTCATCACGTTCGCTTCATTAAAATCCCGGGCGGAACCAGTGTGTGAGTATTTGATTAACTATTTTTACTGCTTGAACGCAAAATTTTTCCAAACTTATTATTAACTTTGTCGCTCTATTCATTCCAAAGTATTTGTTTCGTTATGTTTATTTGAATTAAATAATTATTTTCCGCCGTCGGTTCCGTAGTGTAGTGGTTATCACGTTCGCTTTACATGCGAAAGGTCCCCGGTTCGATCCCGGCGGAACCAGTGTGTCAGTAGATTAACTATTATTTTACTGCTGCTTGAACGCAAAATTTTTCCAAACTTATTATTAACTTTGTCGCTCTATTCATTCCAAAGTATTTGTTCGTTATGTTTATTTGAATTAAATAATTATCTTCCTACCGTCGGTTCCGTAGTGTAGTGGTCATCACGTTCGCTTCACACGCGAAAGGTCCCCGTTCGATCCCGGGCGGAACCAGTGTGTCAGTATTTGATTAACTATTATTTTACTGCTTGAATTGAAAATTTTTCCAAACTTATTAAAAACTTTGTCGCTCTATTCATTCCAAAGTATTTGTTTCGTTATGTTTATTTGAATTAAATAATTATCTTCCGCCGTCGGTTCCGTAGTGTAGTGGTTATCACGTTCGCTTCACACGCGAAAGGTCCCCGGTTCGATCCCGGGCGGAACCAGTGTGTCAGTATTTGATTAACTATTATTTTACTGCATGAATAGCAAAATTTTTCCAAACTTATTAAAAACTTTGTCGCTCTATTCATTCCAAAGTATTTGTTTCGTTATGTTTATTTGAATTAAATAATTATCTTCCGCCGTCGGTTCCGTAGTGTAGTGGTCATCACGTTCGCTTCACACGCGAAAGGTCCCCGGTTCGATCCCGGGCGGAACCAGTGTGTCAGTATTTGATTAACTATTATTTTACTGCTTGAATGAAAAATTTTTCCAAACTTATTAAAAACTTTGTCGCTCTATTCATTCCAAAGTATTTGTTTCGTTATGTTTATTTGAATTAAATAATTATCTTCCTCTGTCGGTTCCGTAGTGTAGTGGTCATCACGTTCGCTTTACACGCGAAAGGTCCCCGGTTCGATCCCGGGCGGAACCAGTGTGTCAGTATTTGATTAACTATTATTTTACTGCATGAATGCAAAATTTTTCCAAACTTATTAAAAACTTGTTCGCTCTATTCATTCCAAAGTATTTGTTTCGTTATGTTTATTTGAATTAAATAATTATCTTCCGCCGTCGGTTCCGTAGTGTAGTGGTCATCACGTTCGCTTTACACGCGAAAGGTCCCCGGTTCGATCCCGGGCGGAACCAGTGTGTCAGTAGTATTTATTACTATTATTTTTTTGAACGCAAAATTTTTCAAACTTATTATTAACTTTTACTGCATGAATTAAAAATTTTTCCAAACTGATTAAAAACTTTGTCGCTCTATAGTCATTAGAAGTACTTCCAAAGTTTTGTTTCGTTATGTTTATTTGAATTAAATAATTGTTTTCCTCCGTCGGTTCCGTAGTGTAGTGGTTATCACGTTCGCTTTACACGCGAAAGGTCCCCGGTTCGATCCCGGGCGGAACCAGTGTGTCAGTATTTGATTAACTATTATTTTACTGCACGAATAGAAAATTTTTCCAAACTGATTAAAAACTTGTTCGCTCTATTCATTCCAAACTATTTGTTCGTTATGTTTATTTGAATTAAATAATTATCTTCCGCCGTCGGTTCCGTAGTGTAGTGGTCATCACGTTCGCTTCACACGAAAGGTCCCCGGTTCGATCCCGGGCGGAACCAGTGTGTGAGTATTTGATTAACTATTATTTTACTGCTTGAATGCAAAATTTTTCCAAACTTATTAAAAACTTTTCGCTCTATTCATTCCAAAGTATTTGTTTCGTTATGTTTATTTGAATTAAATAATTATCTTCCTCCGTCGGTTCCGTAGTGTAGTGGTCATCACGTTCGCTTTACACGCGAAAGGTCCCCGGTTCGATCCCGGGCGGAACCAGTGTGTGAGTATTTTATTTAACAATTATTTTACTGCTTGAATTGAAAATTTTTCCAAAATTATTAAAACTTGTTCGCTCTATTCATTCCAAAGTATTTGTTTCGTTATGTTTATTTGAATTAAATAATTGTTTTCCGCCGTCGGTTCCGTGGTGTAGTGGTTATCACGTTCGCTTCACATGCGAAAGGTCCCCGGTTCGATCCCGGGCGGAACCAGTGTGTCAGTAGTTATTTGATTACTATTATTTTACTGCATGAATTGAAAATTTTTCCAAACTGATTAAAAACTTTTCGCTCTATTCATTCCAAAGTATTTGTTTCGTTATCTTTATTTGAATTAAATAATTGTTTTCCGCCGTCGGTTCCGTGTGTAGTGGTTATCACGTTCGCTTTACATGCGAAAGGTCCCCGGTTCGATCCCGGGCGGAACCAGTGTGTCAGTATTTGATTAACTATTATTTTACTGCATGAATAGAAAATTTTCCAAACTTATTAAAAACTTGTTCTCTATTCATTCCAAACTATTTGTTTCGTTATCATTATTTGAATTTAAATAATTGTTTTCTGCCGTCGGTTCCGTGGTGTAGTGGTTATCACGTTCGCTTTACACGCGAAAGGTCCCCGGTTCGATCCCGGGCGGAACCAGTGTGTCAGTAGTTGATTAACTATCATTTTACTGCATGAATTGAAAATTTTTCCAAACTGATTAAAAACTTGTTCGCTATAGTCATTAGAAACTATTTGTTCGTTATCTTTATTTGAATTTAAATAATTGTTTTCCTGCCGTCGGTTCCGTGGTGTAGTGGTCATCACGTTCGCTTTACACGCGAAAGGTCCCCGTTCGATCCCGGGCGGAACCAGTGTGTCAGTAGTTATTAACTATCATTTTACTGCATGAATTGAAAATTTTTCCAAACTGATTAAAAACTTGTTCGCTCTATTCGTCATTAGAAACTATTTGTTTCGTTATCTTTATTTGAATTAAATAATTGTTTTCTGCCGTCGGTTCCGTGGTGTAGTGGTTATCACGTTCGCTTTACACGCGAAAGGTCCCCGGTTCGATCCCGGGCGGAACCAGTGTGTCAGTATTTTTAACTATCATTTTACTGCATGAATTGAAAATTTTTCCAAACTGATTAAAAACTTTGTTCTCTATTCATTCCAAAACTATTTGCTTCGTTATGTTTATTTGAATTTAAATAATTGTTTTCTGCCGTCGGTTCCGTGGTGTAGTGGTTATCACGTTCGCTTTACACGCGAAAGGTCCCCGGTTCGATCCCGGGCGGAACCAGTGTGTGAGTATTTATTAACTATTATTTTACTGCATGAATTGAAAATTTTTCCAAACTGATTAAAAACTTGTTCGCTCTATTCATTCCAAACTATTTGTTTCGTTATCTTTATTTGAATTAAATAATTATTTTCTGCCGTCGGTTCCGTGGTGTAGTGGTTATCACGTTCGCTTTACACGCGAAAGGTCCCCGGTTCGATCCCGGGCGGAACCAGTGTGTCTGTAGTTAATTAACTATCATTTTACTGCATGAATTGAAAATTTTTCCAAACTTATTAAAAACTTGTTCGCTATATCATTCCAAAGTATTTGTTTCGTTATCTTTATTTGAATTTAAATAATTGTTTTCTGCCGTCGGTTCCGTGGTGTAGTGGTTATCACGTTCGCTTTACACGCGAAAGGTCCCCGGTTCGATCCCGGGCGGAACCAGTGTGTCAGTAGTTATTTAACTATTATTTTACTGCATGAATTGAAAATTTTTCCAAACTGATTAAAAACTTGTTCGCTATAGTCATTCCAAACTATTTGCTTCGTTATCTTTATTTGAATTTAAATAATTGTTTTCTGCCGTCGGTTCCGTGGTGTAGTGGTTATCACGTTCGCTTTACACGCGAAAGGTCCCCGGTTCGATCCCGGCGGAACCAGTGTGTCAGTAGTTATTTAACTATCATTTTACTGCATGAATTGAAAATTTTTCCAAACTGATTAAAAACTTGTTCGCTATAGTCATTCCAAATTATTTGTTTCGTTATCTTTATTTGAATTTAAATAATTGTTTTCCTACGTCGGTTCCGTGGTGTAGTGGTCATCACGTTCGCTTTACACGCGAAAGGTCCCCGGTTCGATCCCGGGCGGAACCAGTGTGTCAGTAGTTTGATTAACTATCATTTTACTGCATGAATTGAAAATTTTTCCAAACTGATTAAAAACTTTGTTCGCTATATTCATTCCAAAGTATTTGTTTCGTTATCTTTATTTGAATTTAAATAATTGTTTTCCGCCGTCGGTTCCGTGGTGTAGTGGTTATCACGTTCGCTTTACACGCGAAAGGTCCCCGGTTCGATCCCGGGCGGAACCAGTGTGTCAATAGTTATTAACTATCATTTTACTGCATGAATTGAAAATTTTTCCAAACTGATTAAAAACTTGTTCGCTCTAGTCATTCCAAAGTATTTGTTTCGTTATCTTTATTTGAATTTAAATAATTGTTTTCTGCCGTCGGTTCCGTGGTGTAGTGGTCACGTTCGCTTTACACACGAAAAGGTCCCCGGTTCGATCCCGGCGGAACCAGTGTGTCAGTAGTTATTTAACTATCATTTTACTGCATGAATTGAAAAAAATTTTTCCAAACTTATTAAAAACTTGTTCGCTATATTCATTCCAAAGTATTTGTTTCGTTATCTTTATTTGAATTTAAATAATTGTTTTCTGCCGTCGGTTCCGTGGTGTAGTGGTTATCACGTTCGCTTTACACGCGAAAGGTCCCCGGTTCGATCCCGGGCGGAACCAGTGTGTCAGTAGTTATTTAACTATCATTTTACTGCATGAATTGAGAAATTTTTCCAAACTGATTAAAAACTTGTTCTCTATAGTCATTCCAAACTATTTGTTTCGTTATCTTTATTTGAATTAAATAATTGTTTTCTGCCGTCGGTTCCGTGGTGTAGTGGTTATCACGTTCGCTTTACACGCGAAAGGTCCCCGGTTCGATCCCGGGCGGAACCAGTGTGTCAGTAGTTATTTAACTATCATTTTACTGCATGAATTGAAAATTTTTCCAAACTGATTAAAAACTTGTTCTCTATAGTCATTAGAAACTATTTGTTTCGTTATCTTTATTTGAATTTAAATAATTGTTTTCTGCCGTCGGTTCCGTGGTGTAGTGGTTATCACGTTCGCTTTACACGCGAAAGGTCCCCGGTTCGATCCCGGGCGGAACCAGTGTGTCAGTAGTTAATTAACTATCATTTTACTGCATGAATTGAAAATTTTTCCAAAAATTATTAAAAACTTGTTCGCTATATTCATTCCAAAGTATTTGTTTCGTTATCTTTATTTGAATTTAAATAATTGTTTTCTGCCGTCGGTTCCGTGGTGTAGTGGTTATCACGTTCGCTTTACACGCGAAAGGTCCCCGGTTCGATCCCGGGCGGAACCAGTGTGTCAATAGTTATTTAACTATCATTTTACTGCATGAATAGAAAATTTTCCAAACTGATTAAAAACTTGTTCTCTATAGTCATTAGAAACTATTTGCTTCGTTATCTTTATTTGAATTTAAATAATTGTTTTCTGCCGTCGGTTCCGTGGTGTAGTGGTTATCACGTTCGCTTTACACGCGAAAGGTCCCCGGTTCGATCCCGGGCGGAACCAGTGTGTCAGTAGTTATTTAACTATTTTTTTACTGCATGAATTGAGAAATTTTTCCAAACTGATTAAAAACTTGTTCTCTATAGTCATTAGAAACTATTTGCTTTCGTTATCTTTATTTGAATTTAAATAATTGTTTTCTGCCGTCGGTTCCGTGGTGTAGTGGTTATCACGTTCGCTTTACACGCGAAAGGTCCCCGGTTCGATCCCGGGCGGAACCAGTGTGTCAGTAGTTATTTAACTATCATTTTACTGCATGAATTGAAAATTTTTCCAAACTGATTAAAAACTTGTTCGCTATAGTCATTAGAAATTATTTGCTTCGTGATCTTATTTGAATTTAAATAATTGTTTTCTGCCGTCGGTTCCGTGGTGTAGTGGTTATCACGTTCGCTTTACACGCGAAAGGTCCCCGGTTCGATCCCGGGCGGAACCAGTGTGTCAGTAGTTATTAACTATCATTTTACTGCATGAATTGAAAATTTTTCCAAAATTATTAAAAACTTGTTCGCTATATCATTCCAAAGTATTTGTTTCGTTATCTTTATTTGAATTTAAATAATTGTTTTCTGCCGTCGGTTCCGTGGTGTAGTGGTTATCACGTTCGCTTTACACGCGAAAGGTCCCCGGTTCGATCCCGGGCGGAACCAGTGTGTCAATAGTATTTATTAACTATCATTTTACTGCATGAATAAAAATTTTTCCAAACTGATTAAAAACTTTGTTCTCTATTCATTAGAAAAGTATTTGTTTCGTTATCTTTATTTGAATTAAATAATTGTTTTCTGCCGTCGGTTCCGTGGTGTAGTGGTTATCACGTTCGCTTTACACGCGAAAGGTCCCCGGTTCGATCCCGGCGGAACCAGTGTGTCAGTAGTTATTTAACTATTATTTTACTGCATGAATTGAAAATTTTTCCAAACTGATTAAAAACTTGTTCGCTGTAGTCATTAGAAAGTATTTGCTTCGTTATCTTTATTTGAATTTAAATAATTGTTTTCTGCCGTCGGTTCCGTGGTGTAGTGGTTATCACGTTCGCTTTACACGCGAAAGGTCCCCGGTTCGATCCCGGGCGGAACCAGTGTGTCAGTAGTTATTTAACTATCATTTTACTGCATGAATTGAAAAATTTTTCCAAACTGATTAAAAACTTGTTCTCTATAGTCATTCCAAACTATTTGTTTCGTTATCTTTATTTGAATTTAAATAATTGTTTTCTGCCGTCGGTTCCGTGGTGTAGTGGTTATCACGTTCGCTTTACACGCGAAAGGTCCCCGGTTCGATCCCGGGCGGAACCAGTGTGTCAATAGTTATTAACTATCATTTTACTGCATGAATTGAAAATTTTTCCAAACTGATTAAAAACTTGTTCGCTATAGTCATTAGAAATTATTTGCTTCGTTATCTTTATTTGAATTTAAATAATTGTTTTCTGCCGTCGGTTCCGTGGTGTAGTGGTTATCACGTTCGCTTTACACGCGAAAGGTCCCCGGTTCGATCCCGGGCGGAACCAGTGTGTCAGTAGTTATTAACTATCATTTTACTGCATTGAAAATTTTTCCAAACTGATTAAAAACTTGTTCGCTAATTCATTCCAAAGTATTTGTTTCGTTATATTTGAATTAAATAATTGTTTCCTCCGTCGGTTCCGTAGTGTAGTGGTTATCACGTTCGCTTCACACGGGGTCCCCGGTTTGATCCAGTGTGTCAGAATTTTTTTCCAAACTGATTAAAAACTTGTTCTCTATAGTCATTAGAAATTATTTGCTTCGTTATCTTTATTTGAATTTAAATAATTGTTTTCTGCCGTCGGTTCCGTGGTGTAGTGGTTATCACGTTCGCTTTACACGCGAAAGGTCCCCGGTTCGATCCCGGCGGAACCAGTGTGTCAGTAGTTATTTAACTATCATTTTACTGCATGAATAGAAAATTTTTCCAAACTGATTAAAAACTTGTTCTCTATAGTCATTCCAAACTATTTGCTTCGTTATCTTTATTTGAATTTAAATAATTGTTTTCTGCCGTCGGTTCCGTGGTGTAGTGGTTATCACGTTCGCTTTACACGCGAAAGGTCCCCGGTTCGATCCCGGGCGGAACCAGTGTGTCAGTAGTTATTAACTATCATTTTACTGCATGAATTGAAAATTTTTCCAAACTGATTAAAAACTTGTTCGCTCTATAGTCATTCCAAAGTATTTGCTTCGTTATCTTTATTTGAATTTAAATAATTGTTTTCTGCCGTCGGTTCCGTGGTGTAGTGGTTATCACGTTCGCTTTACACGCGAAAGGTCCCCGTTCGATCCCGGCGGAACCAGTGTGTCTGTAGTTAATTAACAATCATTTTACTGCATGAATTGAAAATTTTTCCAAAATTATTAAAAACTTGTTCGCTCTATTCATTCCAAAGTATTTGTTTCGTTATCTTTATTTGAATTTAAATAATTGTTTTCTGCCGTCGGTTCCGTGGTGTAGTGGTTATCACGTTCGCTTTACACGCGAAAGGTCCCCGGTTCGATCCCGGGCGGAACCAGTGTGTCAATAGTTATTTAACTATCATTTTACTGCATGAATAGAAAATTTTTCCAAACTGATTAAAAACTTGTTCGCTATAGTCATTAGAAATATTTGTTTCGTTATCTTTATTTGAATTAAATAATTGTTTTCTGCCGTCGGTTCCGTGGTGTAGTGGTTATCACGTTCGCTTTACACGCGAAAGGTCCCCGGTTCGATCCCGGGCGAACCAGTGTGTCAGTAGTTATTTAACTATCATTTTACTGCATGAATTGAAAATTTTTCCAAACTGATTAAAAACTTGTTCTCTATAGTCATTAGAAACTATTTGCTTCGTGATCATTATTTGAATTTAAATAATTGTTTTCGCCGTCGGTTCCGTGGTGTAGTGGTTATCACGTTCGCTTCACACGCGAAAGGTCCCCGGTTCGATCCCGGGCGGAACCAGTGTGTGTAGTTTTTAACTATCATTTTACTGCATGAATTGAAAATTTTTCCAAAATGATTAAAAACTTGTTCGCTCTTCATTCCAAACTATTTGTTTCGTTATCATTATTTGAATTAAATAATTATCTTCTGCCGTCGGTTCCGTTGTGTAGTGGTTATCCAGTTCGGCGAAATCCCCGGTTCGATCCCGGCGGAACCAGTGTGTGAGTATTTATTAACTATCATTTTACTGCATGAATTGATTAAAAACTTGTTCGCTCTATTCATTCCAAAACTATTTGCTTCGTTATCTTTATTTGAATTTAAATAATTGTTTTCTGCCGTCGGTTCCGTGGTGTAGTGGTTATCACGTTCGCTTTACATGCGAAAGGTCCCCGGTTCGATCCCGGGCGGAACCAGTGTGTCAATAGTTATTTAACTATCATTTTACTGCATGAATTGAAAATTTTTCCAAACTGATTAAAAACTTGTTCTCTATAGTCATTAGAAACTATTTGCTACGTTATCTTTATTTGAATTTAAATAATTGTTTTCTGCCGTCGGTTCCGTGGTGTAGTGGTTATCACGTTCGCTTTACACGCGAAAGGTCCCGGTTCGATCCCGGCGGAACCAGTGTGTCAGTAGTTATTAACTATCATTTTACTGCATGAATTGAAAATTTTCCAAACTGATTAAAAACTTGTTCTCTATATTCATTAAAACTATTTGTTTCGTTATCTTTATTTGAATTTAAATAATTGTTTTCCTCCGTCGGTTCAGTGTTGTGTAGTGGTTATCCCGTTCGCTTTACATGCGAAAGGTCCCCGGTTCGTTCCCGGCGGAACCAGTGTGTCTGTAGTTAATTAACAATCATTTTACTGCATGAATTGAAAATTTTTCCAAAATTATTAAAAACTTTTTTCGCTATATTCAGTCCAAAGTATTTGTTTCGTTATCTTTATTTGAATTTAAATAATTGTTTTCTGCCGTCGGTTCCGTGGTGTAGTGGTTATCACGTTCGCTTTACACGCGAAAGGTCCCCGGTTCGATCCCGGGCGGAACCAGTGTGTCAGTATTTATTTAACTATTATTTTACTGCATGAATAGAAAACTTTTTCCAAACTGATTAAAAACTTGTTCGCTCTAGTCATTCCAAATTATTTGCTTCGTGATCTTTATTTGAATTAAATAATTGTTTTCTGACGTCGGTTCCGTAGTGTAGTGGTTATCACGTTCGCTTTACACGCGAAAGGTCCCCGGTTCGATCCCGGGCGGAACCAGTGTGTCAGTATTTTTAACTATCATTTTACTGCATGAATGAAAATTTTCCAAACTGATTAAAAACTTGTTCTCTATAGTCATTAGAAATATTTGTTTCGTTATGTTTATTTGAATTAAATAATTGTTTTCTGCCGTCGGTTCCGTGGTGTAGTGGTTATCACGTTCGCTTTACATGCGAAAGGTCCCCGGTTCGATCCCGGGCGGAACCAGTGTGTGAGTAGTTATTAACTATTTTTTACTGCATGAACGCAAAATTTTTCCAAACTTATTAAAAACTTTGTTCTCTATTCGTTCCAAAGTATTTGTTTCGTTATGTTTATTTGAATTAAATAATTATCTTCCGCCGTCGGTTCCGTAGTGTAGTGGTCATCACGTTCGCTTCACACGCGAAAGGTCCCCGGTTCGATCCCAGGCGGAACCAGTGTGTCAGTATTTGATTAACTGTTATTTTACTGCATGAATTGAAAAATTTTTCCAAACTTTAAAAACTTTGTCGCTGTATTCATTAAAACTATTTGTTTCGTTATCTTTATTTGAATTAAATAATTATTTTCGCCGTCGGTTCCGTAGTGTAGTGGTTATCACGTTCGCTTTACACGCGAAAGGTCCCCGTTTCGATCCCGGGCGGAACCAGTGTGTCAGTAGTTATTTAACTATCATTTTACTGCATGAATAGAAAATTTTTCCAAACTGATTAAAAACTTGTTCTCTATTCATTAGAAACTATTTGTTTCGTGATCATTATTTGAATTTAAATAATTGTTTTCTGCCGTCGGTTCCGTGGTGTAGTGGTTATCACGTTCGCTTTACATGCGAAAGGTCCCCGTTCGATCCCGGGCGGAACCAGTGTGTCAGTATTTGATTAACTATTATTTTACTGCATGAATTGAAAATTTTTCCAAACTGATTAAAAACTTGTTCGCTCTAGTCATTAGAAATATTTGTTTCGTTATCTTTATTTGAATTAAATAATTATCTTCTGCCGTCGGTTCCGTGGTGTAGTGGTTATCACGTTCGCTTTACACGCGAAAGGTCCCCGGTTCGATCCCGGGCGGAACCAGTGTGTCAATATTTATTTAACTATTATTTTACTGCATGAATTGAAAATTTTTCCAAACTTTCATTAAAAACTTGTTCTCTCTAGTCATTAGAAACTATTTGTTTCGTTATGTTTATTTGAATTAAATATTTTCTTCTGCCGTCGGTTCCGTAGTGTAGTGGTTATCACGTTCGCTTTACGCGCGAAAGGTCCCAGTTCGATCCCGGGCGGAACCAGTGTGTCAGTAGTTATTTAACTATTATTTTACTGCATGAATTGAAAATTTTTCCAAACTTTTAAAAACTTGTTCTCTATTCATTAGAAATTATTTCTTCGTGATCTTTATTTGAATTTAAATAATTGTTTTCTGACGTCGGTTCCGTGGTGTAGTGGTAATAACGTTCGCTTTACACGCGAAAGGTCCCCTGTTCGATCCCGGGCGGAACCAGTGTGTCTGTAGTTAATTAACAATCATTTTACTGCATGAATTGAAAATTTTTCAAAATTATTAAAAACTTGTTCGCTATATTCAGTTCCAAAGTATTTGTTTCGTTATCTTTATTTGAATTAAATAATTGTTTTCTGCCGTCGGTTCCGTGGTGTAGTGGTTATCACGTTCGCTTTACACGCGAAAGGTCCCCGGTTCGATCCCGGGCGGAACCAGTGTGTCAATAGTTATTTAACTATCATTTTACTGCATGAATTGAAATTTTTCCAAACTGATTAAAAACTTGTTCTCTATAGTCATTAGAAACTATTTGCTTCGTGATCTTTTTTGAATTAAATAATTGTTTCTGCCGTCGGTTCCGTGTGTAGTGGTTATCACGTTCGCTTTTACACGCGAAAGGTCCCGGTTCGATCCCGGACGGAACCAGTGTGTCAGTAGTTATTTAACTATCATTTTACTGCATGAATTGAAAATTTTTCCAAACTGATTAAAAAACTTGTTCTCTATAGTCATTCCAAACTATTTGCTTCGTTATCTTTATTTGAATTTAAATAATTGTTTTCTGCCGTCGGTTCCGTGGTGTAGTGGTCATCACGTTCGCTTTTTACATGCGAAAGGTCCCGGTTCGATCGGCGGAACCAGTGTGTCAGCGGATTTGATTAACTATTTTCGTCGGGCGGAACCCGTGTATCCAGAAGTTATTTAACTATCATTTTACTGCATGAATAGAAAACTTTTCAAAATGATTAAAAAACTTATTCTCTATAGTCATTAGAGATTATTTGCTTCGGGAAATTTATTTGAAATTAATTAATTGCTTGCTACCGTCGGTTCCGTGGTGTTGTGGTTATCACGTTCGCTTTCCGCGCGAAAGGACCCCTGTTCGTTCCCGGCGGAACCAGTGTGTTTGTAGTTAATTAACAATCATTTTAATGCATGAATTGATAATTTTTCCAAACAGATTAAAAACTTTTTCTCTATAGTCATTAGAAACTATTTTGGCTTCGTGATCATTATTTGAATTTAAATAATTGTTTTCTGCCGTCGGTTTCCGTGGTGTGAAGTGGTTATCACGTTCGCTTTACGCGAAAGGTCCCTGGTTCGATCGGGCGGAACCAATGTGTCTGTGAATTAATTAACAATCATTTTAATGCATGAATTGAAAATTTTTCCATTATAAACTTGTTCGCTATATTCAGTCAAAGTACTCGTTTCGTTATCTTTATTTGAATTTAAATAATTGTTTCCGCCCGTCGGTTCCGTGGTGTAGTGGTTATCA